ATATAAATTAAAAAGTTAAATTCTTATTTTCTCCATGATCAACTTTTTTGTTCTATTGCAAAGTAAGATTACATAAGTGAAAAAGATCATTAAAGTTATTGTTATACCGTTGCATATAGACAGCCGGGATCACATGGTGCCTTAGAATTGTACCTGCAATGTTGCAGTATCAACATCACGGTGTTACTGTAACATCATCAAGGCGTCGTCTTTGCAGCACCGCAACTCTACTCCCGGAGGAAATTTTGTGTTGAAACCTAAGAGCATGATGTTGTGGTACCATATTAGAGCATGACAACACTACAAAGCATGAGTCCATTGTAAGCAGTTCTTTCTGTGATTTTTGTTGTGGGATTTTGAATTCTCTTGTGCAATGAGTGGAGTATAAGTGTATTTTGGTGTTCAAAAGTGTGAAGAGGCTTAAGTGTGGTGTAATTTGTACTATTCCTTACTCTTTTACTTCATAGTGGATTTCTTGGGATTGTGTGACTCCATGGTTTTTTTTTTCATTTTTAGGTTTTGCCACATTAAATTTATGTTTTTTTTTGTGTTTTCTTATTTTGTACGCTTTTGTTCATAGTTTTCTTTCAGATCTCTGGAATCGGTTTTCGCAATTTACATCCCCGACAATTTAGTTAGACAAATTAAACAATAAGACACATTATGTAGGGTGTGACGTGAAATCCTCAGTGTTTTGAGTATCCAAATGTGGCAAGTATTTGATACAATAAGACAGCCCTTGAGCACCCTTGTGTCTCCATGCCTCCTAACAAAATATTAATCGGTCGGCTATTTATGTAAGCAAAGCAAACAAAAGCCATAAGCTTTTGAAACTAAAGCTATGAAGAGATAAGCCAATTAGTTTGTTTAAAAGATAACTTGATATAAAATGGTGAAGTTGTTTGATTTTTTTAAGTGGAAGCAAACAATAAAGGAAATCTATGATCATAGAGGGGATAGAAAAATCCCCAGCAAACCTTGGCTTGCAGAAAGATCTCGGAGGAGGTGGGCACACAAGAAAACTAAGCCCGGAATACTAGGAAGTACCAACAAAAAACCTCACCAATAAAAATCACATAAAATTATGAAGGTTACATTAAAAAATGATGATATATAAGGAATCACTCAACTGCAATCCCTAGCCATAGATGATATTAAATAAGAAAAAGTCAATTAACAACAAATAAATTATAAATCTAAACAGAGTTGTAGATGACAAATTGAGCATTGAAACCCTTAGATAAGATGACCACATAGGGGTAGGAAAAAGGAAATTATAAAGGTAAAAAAAAAGAAAAAAAACAAAGCAACTTTAGTGTGGTTTCCATCTCTCTTAGATTATGCTAACTTTTACCACTCAGAAAGGAAAAATCATGCTCAGTTTTACTCAGAAAATGGCTCAAAATAGTAATTGGAAGAAGAAAAAAAAGCTTTCGTTAACTTGAGCTGATAAATAACTTAGAACCAAACATGACGCTTTATAGGAATTTCTTACAAGCTTTAACATGTAAATAAATTTAAGAAAATAAAGTTTAAATAGTGCAAAAAAATAACTTAAGTACATAGATACTGGATGTTTCTTTATTAAGACTAAATCTGAAGGTGATGAGAAAATGAAGTTGTAAACATTTTAGAAAATCAAGGATTTCCTTACACAGTCTTTTCTCGAAGTGTTTTTCATCGTGATT